GATAGCTTTCTTTTGACAAAAGGGTGAAGTCTCTATCTGTCAGGGAAGCCGAGATATTGCAAAATAAAAAAGGTCTTCAACTTTTGAACAGCACTTTTTATATAAAAATTAACCCGGTCCTGAAAGGGATATAGAACTTGAAAGAGATAGTTCTATTTACATTTCGATGTACATATTTTAATATCATTGTTTATGAAAAGACATTTTTCGGTGAGCGGGTCCTGAATGACTGACAGTTTGTGAATAGAGAATGAAAAAATATTTTGTATGTAATTCAGTTCAGTTTTCTTTTATAATGCTTTTAAACCTAGTATTATTCAGAACTTCGAAAGAATAAGATATTTTCATTTCATGTTTCATCTCGTTCTTTGTGCGACAAAAAATTTTTCATTTCTTTGAACCTCTAGTATCTTCTTCGACACTTTGTTAGTGTAAGTTATATGCGTAAAATACATTTGTTTTGATTATTCTTTGATGTTATTATAGTGGTGTTGTTTGTATTGTATGCAATTTGTATTCGTGTGTCTATAATTATAGTTCTGTGTGTCTGATGAAAAACTAACTGTCTGCCTCTATAATCAATTATATGTTCTCTCAATCCAATTATAATAGGTGTATGTATATGTTGTGTGATTAAGTGCCTTCCTTTCCTTTCCTTTAGCTATAGTACAAACATATTGTACAATCTGCGAGGTGACATTATTATTACTTTAGTCTATGTTTTTTTTAATGGTATTCAAGGTTTTTTTGTTCTTCAATAGATATATCCAATATATATGAACTATACTCTTCTCTCATCATATTCGCTTGAGTTATTGTACAACAATTTTTCTCTCTCTTATATCTCTCTACGGTTATCGAAAGAAAAAGAAAGAAGAAATTCAGTCTCAAATGAGAACATGCAGTACGATTTTTACAATAGATCACATTCAACACAATTTTGCCATTAAACGTTCTTCGTTGTATAACTTAAAAAGAGAGAAAAAATAATATTATTTCATATGAGCATGTTCTATTATGATGATGAGCAAACAATTAACACAAATTATACAAATGTAAGTGTGAGTTTGCACATTAATTATAACTTGAAAATATCGTTTACGAACTAGAATTGTTGTTTGTATTACAGCGTATTAAAAAAGAACAATATTGGAAAAGCAAACAACAAATAGATATTAGATGTTTATTTGAATATCATTCAATAGTCATTTTTAATCACTTTGAAATTAGCCATTTGTAGTTGTGATTCTGAAATCTTAATATTTTCAACTTAGATCAACGAACTCTAATTTTAAATATGAATGCGCTATCGAAAGATAATTCCTCAGCAATTCTTCAAATATCTTATACAGGGATAACTTAATGATCGATCATTTTCGTTTACTATCGTTACAGTAGAAAAGTAGAAGAGTCCACTATTTAAAGTATCTATACCTCTGTCCAAATATTGATAGTTACAACATATTATTGCTATATGAGTATTGATGATGACAATATCTTATCGTATAAATAATAATCGTACGGGAAAACATTCCCAAGTGATAAATTGTTTTGACTTATTTGGTTATAAATTGTTTTTGATACTGATCATGAATATGTTATCCTTTTCGATCTATGGGACTTTTTTTAAAATGAATTTCTAAGAAACGTGCCTTTAGATATCCACTCTCAATTCCATAGTGAACAAATTCTGATTCATCCGGTTTGTCAAACTCGTCGAAATACTCGTTGAAAAAATGTTTTACTGAAGATAAGTATTCGATGAGTCACAAAACTGCAAGGGGGAAAGCACGGAATCCTGATCCTGAAATTCTATGGAATCTAGTCAAATCCGGGATTCTACACTTCTCCCGAAACAGAACAAAAGTGTTCTATATTTTGGGAAACTTTTCCCAAAAACGAAACACAATGTTCTGTTTTGGGGGGAAGTTCCAGGGAATCTTATGGATTCCAAGAAAATCCTGGGGAATCCAGGAGAATTCAGGATTCTAGGATTCCGTGCTTTCCCCCTTGCAAAACTGACCATTTGATTTCTTGCGAAAGTATAACTTTACAGCTTCTATTACAGTTCATCGAAAACTTTTTCCGCATCTCTAATGAAACAATTTTTTGGCACAGTTAATTTGACAAGCTCTACAAACTGGGTGAATCAGAATTCGTTCATCATGTATTTACTTCAATCAGGTATTGAACATGTTTATCTGAATGGCATGTTTTTACTTGCACAAACTATCACAAACTGTTGTGCTTTAATTCTTATAATTTTGAGATTTGTCGATAACTGCACAAAAACCGCTCATTTTCCTTTGTGCGCATGGTTTATGAAAGCAAATAAAACACAACGATTATCTACTTAATTACCGAATCACCGCCTTTTCCATATTTGTCCTGAAATAAGACAACAGTAAATAATTTTATCATCTTTATGCATTTTTGAGAGAATAAAGATAAGTCTTCGAACTCTGCCTAAGGCAATGTCATGCTGTCAAATAGCTTTTCGCCTTCTCGAAACAACCATTAGTAGTCCATCTAACATAGTAAAATATATGACAATATGTTTGTAACTATCGATTTTTAATAATCCCTTCTGTCAAATAATTAAAAACAGATAATTTTTACCACTCTGAAAATGATGCCTCTTCTTTGTATCAATCAATCATTTTTTTGGTAATTAAAATCTCTTATTTATGTGTCTGTGTGCGTGCTAAACATTTTATTGCTTTTTGTTTATTCAAGGTCTCTAAAGAGTATCATCAATCTCCGCAACTATTAAGTATATAGTACTATACTGTATCGATGTAGAAAATAAAAAAATTCATCTTCTCGCCTCCTAATGGAAGAAAAAAAGAGCTATGTTGGTTAATGCACACGCACCACTTTGTTTTTATATTTAATTTAACACGATTGAACAAACGCTTAGATAATTGGATTTAGATCGAATGGGAAAAATATTGCGATGTTGTTTTTTTAAATCGTTTCGAAAAATGATGATGATGATGACAATTCATATATTTATTCAAGTGTTTTTATCCGGGTGTTTATGCTCAATTCTAACACATTAAGAAGATTGTTTTTCTCTAAAATTAATAACAAGTCTAATAGGCTGTGACAAAAGAAAAATGTCTACTTTCGAATAGAACTGCGAAAAAAAATTTTTCTCAAAAATAAATACATCATTTATTTGAAGTATCACGAAAGCAAGAAGTATTTTCATATGAATTAATAGACAAAGAAATTGATGATTTTTTTACCATCATTCGACATTCTTTCACTTGCCTAATGCTGATTCTTTTTTCAGAACGGATCTTATTTATTTCTAAATAAGATAATTGTTTACAAAGAGCTCATTACCAAGGACTTTGTTCTATCTTTTCTTTTTCTTCATCAAGTTTTAGTTTTCTTTCATGTTTTCATCTTTTTTCAATTTTTACAAGGTGTCAGTATGACCTGGTCAGCTAATTCTGCTACCGTAACGGTTTTTCATCATTCTGTTTTGCCTACAAGTATTAAACTGACAGCCGTGGAGTGTCGCGTGACATCTTAAGTTGAAGAGAAAAGTCATTTTAACACGTTTTTCAGCCATACAACATGTATCATTAAGAAGCTGTAACCTAAATATTGGACACTAGTTTTGCAAAAATTAAAGTCGAAAAAACTAGTGTCTAATGTTTAGGTTACAGCTACTTAATGATACATGTTGTAAGGCTGAACAACGTCTTAAAATGTTAACTAGCCATGCAGATGAAAAAAGTCATTCGAGGGGTGCGGCGAGTTCCAGGGCTCGCAACTGCTACAGCGTATTTAGCTCAAAGTTTATCATGGGTCGTTAGAGACCTCATTTCTATAGATCTATCTAAGTTAGATCTCTGATCAGCCTCGAGAGCTCGCTACCAATCCGAAATCCGAGGGCTCGAAATCGATACCCCTCGAAAGCTTATATCGAAGATCCGAAGTGTCATTTTTCGAGGGTTCGAGCCCTCGGCGAAGGCCCGTCGAAAGCATATTTTCGAGCACTCGAAGTACCCCTCGAACAACTGATTGGGTATACTTGTCTCTTCAACTTAAGCTGTCCCGCGATACTCTACGGCTGCCAGTTTAGAAATTATAGGCAAAACAGAATGATGAAAACTCGTTACGGAATTCTGTTACGGTAGCAGAGTTAGCTGGCCACGCCGAGTGATAGATCTTTATTAGTCTAAAAAGGCAATTTTCATCATACGTCGTTCAAAAATACCTTCGTTTTCTGTCTTTAAATTTAGCATAACTTGTTACTAACAAAATAATATGTTTTTTATTCACAATAAGAAAAATTCCTACTTTTAAATTGAGTATCCATCTAATTAAATTATATATTTTTAAAAATGTTTAAATTTTAAGAACAATTTTGAAAACTCGAAAGAAACACTTTGTGATACGTACTTAAGTTGTGCGATAAGTTCTGCTTGATATCTTACGTCTAACCTAGTGAAACTTCTTGTAACAAATGTCATAGGATCTTGGATTTTTGATTCTTTTACTGAAGATCTTATAAACGGAGATTTCAATATCTCGAATAAATCCACTCATGACGTTTCAAGATCATAGGTGAAAAATTCTCTTTCTATTGTGTGATAGTCAGATAGACGAGCATAGGATTATAGGCTCTTCCTTAAACAACTATGTTAAAGGAGAAAACAAATTCGAGACTATTCTAAAGTATGAAAATATTCACATTTCTATACAAACAAGAGTGTAGAATAAAATAATGATTCAAGAATTTCAAGTTCTTGGGTAACAAACTTCAATCACTTAAAATCTTAATCATGAGCCCCTGGCACAAGCCGTTTCACTATGTAATTATTATCGCTTTTTTATGCTTCATATCAAAAACAAAGATATCTCTTCGACACATCAGTGAAAACAAAATTGAGATGACTATTGTATCTATTACTATCTTTTTTTGCATTTAGCTATCTCGTAAGTCATGTAAATATGGTTATTTATTTGTTGCTCCTGCTGAGCTAAATTTTTCCGATGAACACGATCGAATACGCGTATGTTTTTGTTCTACTGTAAGTGTTGAGTTTCTCTATGTCCATCTGTTTGTTAGAAATGGCAATGGCGACATTTCGTATTGTTTGATGATGGTGAATTAACATATTCTCTAGATGAAAATGTAAGATGAAATGGAACAAGTGAATACGTCGATTTATCTAATTTAATGTTGTCATATATTTTAGCCATTTACTCTACCTCAGGAACGAATTGATTTACGTAAATGTTCAATCGTTCAATCGAGTGATGATTACACAGGTCACTCGAATTCTCTTGAAATTCAGTTGAACAATTCAAAACAATATTTCATAAAATCAACATCAAAAGATGATATTCGAAGATGGCAACAATTACTAATCCAATATTCTTCAAAATCAGCATCATCCACACTAAAAAGTTCTTCTGGTCGGCATTTAACATCTGTACTTCTTACACAATATCAACCTTCAGTATGTTGACATATTCATTCGTATAATTTTGTGACAATTGTTTATTTGTGATTGTAGGATCCATCATTACTACCATCTAATCAGGAAAATCAACAGGAAAAAATCATTTTATATCCCTCAAAAACTGTACAAAATTCTACCATAGAGTCAAATCGTATACGTGATGCATCTGTCATTCGTTTAAGACGTAAATTAAATGAATTATCATCCGAGTATGCCGATGAAACAAAAAAACGGGAACAATATTTAAACAATATAAACAAATTTATTTCAACAACAACAACTCAACCACGAACCTGTTTAGATTTAACAAATTCACATTCAAACGAACGAAAAACCAAACAACAAATACACAAAGAGCGAAAATTAAACACGGAAAGAAGTAAATCATTGCCAAGAGTTTCATTAGCCGAAGATAATCCCGAACAATCATCAACAAAAGAGAATATGAACAATTATAATAAGGTTTGTATCTGTTCTATAACCTATTGCGACATCAATGCAAAATTCAAATGGTTTATTATAGCAAAACGATGAGAAAATTCATAGTATAAACGGAACTGTAATTCGCAAAGGATGGTTATCAAAACTGGAAAAAAATCAAAAAGTAGATATAATATTTAAATCGTTTAATAATTTTAATGTTATTTGTTGGGTCGTGTTAGGATTGGCGTCGATATTGGTTTATATTAACAGAAGAATCTCTGTTTTATTATCAAGATGAAAATGTTGACGAAAATCAAACGTCTGCAGGAAAGTTTGATTTAATCTATTGCAACTCTGTCGAAGAATTACCTACAACAGACAATAACGCGTTTGTTATAAATGTAAGTTTGATCGAGTACATAGGTACCCAGATCAAGCAATCCTACTCAAATCTTACTGATAACAGGATTTCATAGGATTCGTTTTATATGATCTTATGAAATTCTACAGCAGAAATTCCTCCGTAGGATTCTTGATATAGGACGTTAGTAAAAATCGTATAGAATTCCTATAATAGGAATCTCATGCATTTCTTTCAAAATCCTACGGTAAGAATTTGAGTAGGATTCCTATTTTTCGTTCTGTATATATTTTCTTCTCTTTTTCTATACGAGAACACAATCATCAACATGTTTACAGTAACTCTAATATAAATACAATTCTACTGTAGAAAATAAAAAATTCTTCTGGGCTTAAATTTTCGCACAGAGCATTATAAACCATCGAAACTCGCTACTGTTCGACGACGTGTGAGTCTCTCAAGTAGAGTCCTGCGAGTCTGAGATTTTCGAATCCGATCCGGTCTCATAGATTTGAAACCCGTTACGAACCCGAACCCGCCAGAAGTTTTTCGGAATCCCGATCCCGATTTTCCAAACTAAAAGCCTCCCCAAATCCGCTCGACCAGAAAATTTTTCGGAATGGCTATTGACACCCCCAGGGTGGCAGTAAGGAGCTATTGACAGTCCAAAGACTGGCCGCAGGAAGATATTGACACCCCCATCGAACTGGCAGCAAGAGCTACTGACAGTCCAAAATGCACTTATAAACTACACAAATGTGTTATTCAAAGTGTTATGTTAAATTAATTCTGAATTTGACGGTCTATGAGAGGCCGTTTCGGGTGGGTGGGGTGGCTGTGCATGGGAGTGCGTCACTAGAATACTTCCATGTTGTGTGGAGATGATGGTCTTTATTGAATAACACATTTGTGCACATTGAATAAGTGCATTTTAGACTGTCAATAGCTCCTTGCTGCCAGTTCGATAGTTTGATGGGGTGCCAGTAGCTCCTTGCTGCCAACCGGGAGGTGTCAATAGGTTAGACCTACCCAACTTTTTTTTAGTGAAGTTCCCTCTTTTATTTCTACATTAGTAAATCTCTACATGTAGATGTTCTGCTTCTTTCACAGCTAAGAAGGAGAAACTCAATCGAAGTGATGATAGTTTTAATGACAGTGGAAATTAAAAGACTTAAGGAAACTTTTTTTTCTATTGCTATTTTTGTGATAAACGTTTAACAGACTAAGAAACAGTATTACTTTGTTATTTCTGTCTTTTGAATAAAAAAATAGTGCAACCTTTGAAGTAGAAACCTGATCTCGATCCCGTTCCGATGAACTCAAACCCTTTCCGAACCCGCGGGATCCGGTTCGAAATCGGGTTAAACCCGCAGGACTCTACTCACAAGTTTTGGGCTTATCCCAGCTCAGAATCATCTGAGCTAGCTGGAATCAGAGAATAATTAAACAACTAAAAACAATAAATCTAGTAGGATAAACCAGCAGAAAATCAGATAAAATCCTACTGTAATCCTACAATAGGACCCTGTAGGATCTTGCAAGATTCTACAAGATCTGACTACAGGATCCTATAAGAACCTTACAGTTGGATTTTTTGACTCTGAGGTTTTCCTACAAGATTCTACAAGATTATTGTAGGATTACAGGGTCCTAAAGTAGGATCTTGTAAGAATCTTGTCGAATTCTGCTGTAAGATTGTTTGACTTGGGTTTATCTATATTCTCAAATCTTTTTTTAGACTAGTTATGAACAAATACAGCTAGTTGCTGTAACAAGCGGCATTAGAAAAAATTGGATTGATTCTTTAGTACAATGCATTAAGCAGGTAAGGTTGACAATATCGATACGAAGCAAAGAAATTTTAACGCGTAAGGTAGATAAAAAAATCTACAAAATCTTGGAAACCAATTTTCGTAGTCATCGAACTATTCTTTATGTTTTCACCAAACAAACATGATCAATATTTGCTCGGAATATTTTATTTAGCCAATCTCATACTTCGAGCCTGTTTGTTGTTTAATCATTTTTATAGCATCAAAGTTCTGTTGCCCCAAGTTCGAGCAGTGAGCGATTGTCCGCCCTTATCTTATAATGATGCAAAGCAACAGGGTACTTCCTCACAGGATGCGACTTTTGTTTTGATACGGTCAGTCTTCGTTATAAACGAATGAGAAAAATGGCAAGCGTTTTACTTTATGATATGGTATTGTAAAAAGCTTTTATTTTCTTCTCTCTCTAAAACTTCTTTACTTTACAAAAACATGCGCTGGTTTCCACCATCACCAATACTTTTCATACAGAATATATCAGCTAACGTCCTCAAATTCACATTTTTATCTAATGTTCTCCTTACTTTAGTTTGATACCCTACGTTCTCATTTGGAACATATTAAAAATGATTATCATTACCTAATGGAAAAAAAAAATCAGATGGCGGTCAATAAATCAGATGACCAAATTAAACATGACAAAGTTAGCGAAAATAATAAGGTAAGCTGTTGCTCATGAGAAGAGTGAATGCCTAAAGGTCATAAAAGCGCAGAGGGAGGTTAAATCAAACTCGAAGGCAAACGCCACAGAAGCCTCCATACCAATGTAACTCATTTCCAACCCACACTAAACGATTTTCAAAACCGAAGCCAAAGACTTCTCATAGTAGGAGTGGAATACCCACACCTCCAAGTGTTCATGAGTTTTTTATGTAAAATTATTAGTTTTACCATTCACAGAATTAGATAGATAGATGTGAGATTTCAATTCTATTCTAAGATCATCAGAAGGCATGTGATTCATGAACAGTTGTTTACTCAGATGTCCTTTCTTTTTCGTTTGCTCGTTACTATTAATGCAACATGCTGAAGAGATATAATTCTAAGAATATGCTATTTTGACAAAAACTACTGATTTAATACACTATGAAGTGTAGATTACAATGAAAGTTTGATAAAGATCTCGAAAAGTGAAGGTAAAAAGACTCTTTATCTCCTTGACTTCTGATGCACATATTTTAGAAAACCATATATGAGGCAGTTTTCGATAATTTCTAGAAATTTCAGTATAAGTTGATTGTTTGTTATGTGATTAGACTTTCATCCAAAGTGACGATAGAAAGCAGAATGAGTGCTGTAATCGGATTAGAATGTTTCTTATGATACACAACAAATATGATATATGTCCATATATATGTCAATGAGAACAAGTTGTGTTCTCGTAGTGGATTTATCCCACTATTCATCCAAACGTCCTAATGGACGTTGACATTTTGTGTGAATGATATTTCTTGATTGGACTGTATTTGCTGACAATTTCGAGTCAGACTGATATTTCTCAGCTGAGCTGTTTTAGTTATTTTTCAGAGTACCGGCAACTTAATGAACGTTCACCATGATCTTGTGGCCAAGAATGTCCCAAGATCTTGATTTTTTGATATTACGAACTTCCACTAGGGCGTCTATAACTCAATATGACTCATCCAAACAAAATTGACCTTAGTAGAACTTTTGAGTAACTCATTGATGTGGATCATTATATGTTTATATAATTTTTCCATCTTGTCTATCTATTTAGACTATAAGATCCGTCATCTTCTATCCTGAAAATTCAAGTTTAACCGATGATCTTGTTCCATCAAAAGATATTTTACCTATCGCTACTATTATGACAAATTCACAGAAAATATCACCAACTAAAGTACTCAAACATTCAACTCACTATGATCGAGATAACCATCATGCGGTAATATCGACTGATTTAGTTAAAGTTGTTCATAGTAAACAAGAAATGATTTCACAGTTGGAGCAAAAACTAATGGAAACAGAACAAAAATATCAAAATTTAATGATACAATTTAAACAAAATAATTTACAGGTAATACTAGAAATAATAAAAATTTTTATAAGATTTTATTAAATATTTGTTTAGTTAAAATATGATAATGAACGTAAAGAAAATCTAATATTGCGTGATAAATTAGTTAAATTAGAAGATAAATTATTTGATAGTGATCGTCGCAGTCAAATTTTAAATGAATTGAAATTAGAAGTCGATCAAATGCAACAAGTATTCGATAATCTAGAAGTAAGTAATCAATATTTATTATTTACAATATATTATAATTAATGTCAATTTTTAAGAAAGAAAATAATCAATTGAATGATCAATTATCAACTTTAAAAGATAATTGTTCAATATTAGAAGAAGATTATAAAACAGCTCAAATGAAATTATCGTTAGCAAACAAACAAATTGAACAATTAGAAAAATTATTAGATTCACCTGTTGAAAAGAAGACAATAGCAGAATATAAAAATAAATCAGGCAAGATAAATTCTACTATGACCATGAGCAAAAAAAAAGAAGAAATATTGTTATCTTGTTTAGATGATGATACAAATATAATTGAAAAATTACGTGAAGATTTATTGTTGGCCGATTTGGATAATTCTGAATTAAACAAAGAAAATCGCGATTTATATTTTCAGTTAAAACAAGCTTTAGAACAAATTCAACAGTTAAAATCAACAAAAATATCAAATAGTTTATATCGTTCTCATAGTCAAATTGTATCATTTCCTTATCAATTATCAAATTCAGATCCATTACTAACACGACATGATCAATATGATCGACTAATAAATATATTTAGATCAATTCGTACAATATTAATAGATGAATATACACGATTAGTCAATTTTATTAATCTATTTAAAGAACATAAAGATTATTTAAAAGATCTGGGTCAAGTACATATCGATCATGTTCATTTAAAACAATATTTAAATTTAAATTCAGAAAAAATAAACGAAAGAGTTAATCATCTAGTCATTGAACATATTTATATGTGTGCTGCTAATTCAAGATCATTTTTAAAGAAATATTCACATTTATTTGAACAATTAAATCAAATAGAATTTGAACCATCATTGAATGAACAATTAGATCAAACATTGAATATGTATTCGATTATTAATAATCCATTGTTAACAAAAATGAAGAATATATTTGATCAAAAATCACTATCGTCTTATATGGACGATGAAAAATTAAGAATATTAGAAAAGTTAAATGAAATATGGAATCAATATGAGTTAAATGCAAGAGTAAATTTAAACAATATCATTCAAACAAAGTATGATCAATTGATCTTCTTTCATTCAAAAAATGAATTAATGAAAGTAGTTCTTGAATTTTAAATACTAGACAACATTTTTAGAAAAACAAGTTGTTTAGTAATGACTTATACGCACTTAAGCTCGTCTCCCTCCCCCGTCGCGCGTATTAGAAACCTGTCTGACCCGCTGATCTGAACAAAACTTTCAGGGAATGTTGACCGTGTCAAAGTGTAATAACGAAATTTATTTTTTAGCGCCACTAGCAACTGTTCGTGAGAGAACATCACAACAAGGATCAAAAATAGGCGTCTACCACGCACAAGAACTCTCATTCCAGATAAATGATAGAGAGCTCGGACTGTTTTTGTTTTGCAGTAAACATCTACGTCTAGGAGTTGACAGGCGAATTTTAGAATTTCTTATTTGCTGATTTCTGGTGCTTAACAAAACTTTAACGTCCGAAAAATCCTTAGAAAATTTCTTAGAAATCCGCATTTCTTTAAAAAATAGAAGCATAATTTAAAAATCAGACTGTGCCAACTCCTCAACTATAGGTGTTATCTACAAATCAAAAAAAATTTTCTTTCTCAGATGTATCGTTACCGAGAATTCCTGTGCGTGGCAAAAGCATTCAACTCATACACTGTAAGGTTGGAAATTATTTATGGAAAATGCTCGGCGAATTTCAAAGAGTACATATGGGAATTCCGTGGGGATTTTCCAGTTTATAGAAAATCGAATTTCCAACACGAATCG